GATACAGAAAATTCTTAGCGAAGTTACATGTTTGATTATGCAGTTCAGGTTAACTGGAAATAATGAACGTGAACATTTTACAAGCTTAGAGTTTCTCAGTTAAAAGTATACGAAATATCGCTGAAGCTATCACACACAGCTTCGCACAAGAAAAATTTCTCTTTAATAATTACTGGTATTACTTCCATTGCTATCTTGTTGATTTCGATTCTGTAGGTGTTAACTACTGAATAAATTTGTGTATAGTTCGACCGCCTCATCCGCGACCATGAGCGCAAATACGCCAGCGCCATTCGGACCGAATCATTCTCAAAATAGGGTGGAAGGATGGGGACTTTCTTTCCCTCCAGCATAGCTCTTTCCGGAGAAGAGAAGACCTTTCAAACGTCGCAGCAAGTAATACCGTCCCTTTTGGACGAGTCTATGTGTTTTGGCAGAATGCCAACCAGGGTTGCGCTTGAGACGGTTGAACTATAACGATTTTGTTACATCTGAGGAGTATGTGCTTCGAATGGCAGAAACGTTTTCAGATTTAGCAGTTAAAGCGATTCATAAAATTAGATATCATAACATAAAGTAAAAACGAATTGATAGAAGTAAAAAATAAAAAGAGTCAAGCTGCAATAGAGGAGATAGCATTTTGACAGCTATGTGGTCCAGCTTTCAAGGTGGTTTTTTGATCTAAAACAGGGATGTCAAACTCATAGGTACACTTGGGCCAAACAAACAAGGTTTAACTTTAGGCGGGCCGCAAAAAAAAAAAAAAAAAAAAAAAAAAAAAAAAAAAAAAAAATCGATATTCATAGAAACGTAGATTTATTTTGAATAATACAATAATAACATATATATATATTTATATAGAAAAGAACAAGAAAAATTTAATGTTTACGTCCTGATACTTGACATCTCTTCTCTGCTATTATCTTTCCTATTTCGGGAGAAATTTTGTTTGCAGTGATAACTTTCAACGCTGACCCAAGGTGAGCATCATTAATACTGTTTCTAATAGGAGACTTATTACCTTTCATGATTGAAAATAACTGCTCGCACCGATAAGTGCTACCAAAAGTGCACCAAACATGGAAATAATTTCATATTTTTTTATCGAATTTTCGAGTATTTTCAAACCTGGCTGGTAAATATTTGTAAAATTCAGGCACGCCCACTTCAATGAATTTTGCTTCCAAATTTGAGTTGCATTGAATCTCGATCACCTCCATTTGCATATGGCTGGGTACTGAGTCAATACTTATTGAGAAAAATCGAAGAAAAGAAAACAAAAATAATTGTCTTCGAGGGAACTAAAATCATTAAACCTCGTTTCAAATTCAGTTGTTAAATTTGCAATTTTTTCTGCGTATTTTTGATACGAACAAGTATCATCTAAACTTGATTTGTTCATGCTGCACGTCGGGAAGTGCGTCAAATCTTCATTTTTAAGTTGTTTTTCCCAAAGAACTAGTTGACATTTGAATGCTTTAATTATGTCAAACATGTTCGTAATGATATGATCTTTTCCTTGTAACGATAAATTTAAATCGGTTAAGTGTTTGGTTATATCAACCAAGAAAGATAAATCTTGTATCCATATTGGATCGTAAAACAAACTTACGTCTTGATTTTTCGTTTTTAAAAACTGACATATTTCTTCTTTCAAATCCCAGAATTGTTTGAGAATCTTGGAGCAAGATAACCAACGTACCTCGGTATAGTAGGACAAACCCGAATATTCACTATCTAACTCATTTAAGAAAGCAGTGAATTGACGCTGATTTAAACCTCGAGATCTTATAAAATTTATAACTTTTTTTATATATGACAAAACATTCTCCATATTTATTACTTTCGTGCATAGAACTTCTTGATGTATAATACAATGCATATGATGAATGTTTGAACCGTGAATTTCACTAAGTTTTTTTCTTAGTAATGCTACGAAGCCCTTGTTTTTCCCAGTCATTGATGGAGCGCCATCTGTAGCTACAGAATTTAATTTTGCCAAAGGTAGATTGTATTTCTGCAGAAGTCCAAAAACACAAGTAAATATATCTTCTCCTGTGGTAGTACCGGGCATCGGTATTAGTTCCAGTAATTCCTCAAAAATGTTAAAATTCTTGTCACAAGAACGAAGAAACACTGCTAATTGAGCTTTGCCACTAATGTCCGTGCTCTCGTCACAGGCAATGGAGAAACTTTCGAAACTAGATGATTTTGCTTTGATCTGATCACTTAAATTCGCGGCTAAATCAGTAACTCTTTCCGCAACTGTATTTCGAGACAATGAAATTGATTGAAAAGCCTTCACATTTCCAGGACAAACAATTTCTCCAGCTTTCATTAGGCATTCCTTGATGAAATCACCGTCAGTAAAAGGCTTCGAATGTTTAGCTATCAACTCGGACAAGACGTAGCTTGCATGTACCGCAGCTTCACTTTCTTGCAATACTTTACTAAACATGGACTGTTGCTTTTTCACTCCTAACTTGAGCTCTTTCAACTTTTCTTCTCTCATTTAATCCTTCGTAATTGTTATATTTCGATTTGTGTTTAACATTATATAACTTTGGTACATTAATAGTATTATTACATATCATGCAGATTATTTTATCTTTTATTTCACAGCAAAAATATTCTAATTTCCATTTTACTTGGAATATTCTGTGTTCGTCAGCGATTTTTCGTTTAATTTTACTACCACTTGGTTTTGATATAGACATACTGAATACTAAGGGCTGGAATAGACACGGTTAAACAAAAAACAAAAAGTTAACAAAAATTTATTCTTTCCACAAGAGATAAATCAAAATGCTGAAATATTTCTTCAAAAATATTCTAACAATATCACAAAATGTCAAACGTTTAGCAAAAATCAATTCAAAACAGAGAAACTAATTCTATCTCACAGCGAAATCGCTACAAATCAATCACAGAATTAAGTAAACAAACAGTTCGCTAGAACTACAGCTACTACTGAGATGAGTTGTTTGTTCTCGGCTTTTATAAGCTTTATAATTAATTTCTCGAATATACTGGAAACATCTATAAATATCTGGATTTTTGTGGATGGCAACAGCAATTACGAGATATTTATTTATTAGGTATTATTAATGCACGCGCTGTTCTGTTTTTTAACCTTCCAACGCAGCTGTCTTTTCAAAAATCGTCTGCTTTGCTAAGGCGACATGAAGCAAATCTAATTACAATTCTAAATAAAAAAACTAACTAAATAAATAACTATGAAATCCGTAACAATATGAATTAAGTAATAATTAATAATAAAGCAAAGTGCATGCACATGCATTCACCAATATATCGTACAAAACTATGATTGGAAAACTGAGACCATGAGTTCGGCCACATTCGGCTATCGGGGGAGGTGTACAAGTTCTGAGTGCACGTGTCCCCCAAAAGCCGAAGGTAGCTGAACGCAAGCTACTCACACGCATTTGTAATTTAAGTAGTGTGTGTGTCAGCTCGCTGTGACTAATCTAACAACACTGAATAAATTATCGTTAATTACGTAGCAGTAAACATTTCATTTTTTTCTTCGTCGATATGTTATTTTATGTTATTATTTGCCGATATGTTGGCCGGGCCGCAAAAAATATTTGTTGTGGGCCGTATGCGGCCCGCGGGCCGCGAGTTTGACATCCTTGATATAAAAGTTGTAAAATCTCGTCTGTCTTTGCTTAAGTAGGGATTTTTGATTAAGAATGCAAAAATAATAGCAATAACAGAGAGCAATGAAATTTTTATAACGCATGCCAAAAAATTGCAGCAAGCCAAAGTAATATTTAGTGCAAGAGTTAAAATACAGAACAGTTTCAAATTTTAAAGATTTTTAGTTAAGATTTTTTGTACACTTAATGTATATTTAAATAAAGATTATAGAATTTTCAGTATTATTTTGAATGAAAAGTTAAGTAAATTAATTTGTGAATAAAATTAATTTTTAATTACACTTTTTAATATAAAACAAAAACCAAATTTTTAATAAAATTAATTTTTATTATTACGTTCAGAAATTCACGGGAAGAATATTTATAAATTTTGACAAATAACAGAAAAAACTGAAATTGTTATTCATTTCATTACACTTTTATGCAGAATTATCATTTAATGTAATTTACATTAGTTCAATTTAAATTTATTTCTATGTTATGTTTTTCTAATGTCAATAACATTTTACTACATATGCGATGATATTAATTTGTTGTCGATGTTTTTTCATTTGTTGACATAGTTTCTCTTGCTTTTTTGCTTATACATTTTGCTTATCTGCTGTCTCTAATTGAATGTAAAAGTTAATTAATAAACTAAAGTTGAAAAAATTAAATTTGGTTAACTTAAAAAATTTCATAAATTTGGATAATGCAGCTTTATGTGCATTGATTGATTCCAAAATTGATGCGGAATTTATTAGTAGTTATTTTAAAAATTTAGGTTAACTTTCAATTTAAGACACAGTATTGTCTTTTAATTCTTTCGCATCGAGAGACGACCAAATCTGTTTTCAACAAAACATCGAAAACGCCCGTGTTTACGAATTTGTCTTGGAATAGTTTTGCTTTCCCCCTTGCTGCTCTTGGAGGTTTTTCTGCGGTTTCTTCCATTGTGTACAGTTTCACCTATGGCCGGATTGCACCTGCGAACGTCAATAGCTTTCCGTATTTCTCCTTTATTTGCTTCAAAAGAATGATTGACATGTCTTTTAACAACTCGCGAAACCAATGAGCCATACAGTAACGTGAAGAGGGAAAGAACTAGGTTGAAAATAAACGAGGCGTTGGGGCGGTTTGCAGTTGCCTGAATGAACGGGCGTTACGGCCGACTTCGATGCGAAAGAGTTAAAACACCCGTACAAAAATATTCAGTTTAATAAAATTAAACGAATGTGGAACATTTGAATAACGTTTTCATAAGGTATATGAACATATTCAAGTATTAAAATTCGTACTAATCAAGAAATGAACATTTCATTGCTAATAAGAAGCTAGTTTATTTGCATCAGAATTTATATTTAATTACATTGTTGTTATATTTAATATAATGTATGGAAAAAAGTCCAGCATTTAATCTTCAATTAACAGACAAACTGTTTCTCGTTCAATCAGTCATTCATCACAGAGCCAACCCTGAAATATAAAAGAAATACATATGTATATGTACCTGTATAATTATATTACTTATAACAAAGCTACACCGTGTAAGAAAGAGAACAAATAAAATAAAATAAATTAAATAAACAGGATGACAAATAAATAAAGAATTTAATACAAATCCCTTTTTTATTGATCACATATAAATATAGGGGCAATATTTTAAAAATTAGACAAAAAAGTGACCTCTGTTTAGCATGCAGTTTGAAAACTTAGATTATTTTCAGTGAGAATTTATTGCCTTTTAAAAAGATCTTCATTGTTGCCCTATTAAAAATAATTTCAGTTACTATTGAGCAGATCAATGAACGAATGCAGATCAATGGAATGTAACTCAGTAAAATGTCTACGCACGTACAACGGTAAGCAGAATATTCATGTGTAAATATGTGTACGTAACATTACATACAAAACTATACAGCACGCTCACAAAAATACTCACGCGGCCTTAAATTTTGCAATTGCTGGACGTAGAATTATACTTGCAATGCATAAAAGTTTTACATAAGGCATTCATGTTTTGGCATTTTAAAATTAAAACAATTAACTTTATGAGAATAACGAAAACCTTTTTATGTACTCCTCGTTTTAGGAAAAAAAAAAAAAAAAAAAAAAAAAAGCACCAAAATTTTGATTACCCAGTTTTGGCTAAGTCAAAATGAATCGTGATATGACATACGACTATATCAATTAGTTTAACTGAGATATATCTGTGATATAACAAAACAAAATTTGATTATCCAAATTATGTATTAAATTATGTATTACGCATTATAAAAGTTCCGCGTGAGATACATTTGTCTCATGACAGACATCCAGTCTGTCACATCATAGTCTATATATGTTGAATAATATCGGATGCGATTAGCGAGAAGACATCGATAATACAGATTTGAATTCATCATAATCAGAAAAAACAAACATTATGTATTTAATATAACATCCTCCCTCCCCCAAAAAAAGATACAAAAATAGATGCCTAGAAAATACAATGGTGAAGTTTTGAACGTAATTTGGCGTTTTAATCACGCATGGTCTGTATGTGTGTCTGTCTATAAAAAGAAAATATAGATACATAGCATCTATAATATGTGGTAATAAGATACTCACATGAAGCATCTATAACATGTGGCAAGGAACTTGTACAGTCAAAGTTTAAATTGTTTATCACAGGTAAATACGTGCCGATTATATTATTTACTATAATGATTTGTGATAGGACCATTATTTTCGATTTACTCTGTACATTATTTATCACAGGTAAATATGTGCCGATTATATTATTTACTATAATGATTTGTGATAGGACCATTATTTTTGATTTACTCTGTACATTGTTTATCACAGACAAATATGTGCTGATTATATTATTTACTATAATGATTTGTGAAAGGACCATTATTTTCGATTTACTCTGTACATTGTTTATCACAGGCAAATATGTGCTGATTATATTATTTACTATAATGATTTGTGAAAGGACCATTATTTTCGATTTACTCTGTACATTTTTTATCACAGACAAATATGTGCTGATTATATTATTTACTATAATGATTTGTGAAAGGACCATTATTTTCGATTTACTCTGTACATCTGCAGGGTTTTCCTGTATCTGGTAAGAGCTACACAGTCCGAAACCCTCAGAGGCGTAGCTAGAGTTTCCAGCACCCGGGGACAACTGAAGAAATTGCGCCCCTTTCTGTGTGCCAAGAATGGAAAACATTTCATTAAAAAATTTCGTAGCATCAATTTGGTGCCCCTTGGATGCTGCGCCCGGGGACAGATGTCCCCCTCTTGCCCCACCCTAGCTACGCCACTGGAAACCCTAATAGACGGAAAGCGAATTATCGCTATAAGTCATTGCAGGTTACAGGTGCGGTTTAAAGAATTTTTTTTATTAAAAAAAACTTTGAACATAAACACTACACAATTAAATTTAAATGCAACCTGTCTCAGAGCTTTGACCGGCGTATCGAATTTAAATCTCGGCAGCAGTAAATGCAAATCCAAATAGATACAAACTTATCAGAACTGGCAGAAACAATGTGTTAAGTTTACGTTTATGTAGCCTTAGATTGCCAATAGATGGCGGTAGTGTTTGTAAAAAGAAACTGTGATGTCATAATTATGTATATGTATCAGTTTGTTTTTGGTGTTCGTCTATAAACGTTGTGTCGAATAACGCTCCTCTGTTTATTACTTTACATTCGATCCGATCTGATTATTAGAGACTTACACATATTTTGTTTACGATGTAAGTGCCCGCAAGAAGAAGAAACACGCTCTTTTATAGAATCCAAAAGCCGCAGCTTAAATACGCTCTAAGACATTTACATTCTGGTGAGGAAACGGAAAGGAGAAGTTATAGTATATGTTGAAATTGTAAATAATTGTTTAATTGAAATAATAAGGCTTACACAGTAATACATTTTTTATTCCTGCTCAAGTTGTTTGTTACGATCAACGAAGGCTGGTTAATTAAGAAGCAACTGTTAGAATGACAAATTTATTACATATTGGACAACGGCATTTTTTTATTAATCGATTATTGTTCGCCGCTCACTCTTATAACTAATTGTATTCTTGTGAATTGGAAGGTAATAACGATTTCTCGCCGAAAAACTGTATTAGATTTTGGAGAGCACCAATTTCTGAGTCGTTGCTTGTTCAGCGTGAGTTCGAAGTATTGAGATACCTACGCGTGAGCTTCGCTCTTCAGATACACTTTGCATTGCATTGTGTTTAGCATTCTTATTAGTTTGAATTGTCACTACTGATTGTACTCTGTGACACTTTGAAGACCTAACAGTATTTTGTGGAAAGTTCCAGAATTGTGACGTGTTTCCTTTTGTAAAATAAATTTTATCAAGCTATCATCTGTTCAGTGTGCATTCAATCTAATATTACGAGCCGGTTTTACACGCAACAATATTATGAAACTATTGTTCATAAACTTTGCGTTCTAAGGATCAATTGAAAAATGTAATAAAAAAGTCACAAATTTTTGAACAACAGTTTACATCAATAATACTAATCCATACCAATACATAAGAAGTAACGTCGAAATGCAATTTCTATTTCATTCATTTAAACTCCTTGAAAACTAACTATAATACGTTTTTATGACATTATCGGAATGCCTACTTTATTCGATTCTTTTGTTAAGGTATCACAGTAGTTTACAACCAGTTGTTCAAAAGTTATTTAAGGTATTTAGTTGTATAATATTTTGCATTTTGTGTACATTATGCTACCCTGAATGTGTTGGATATGATGATAATAGGATAGGATTTTTCTTCTGATTTTCTGACAATTCAAATTTTCATTTTTCAAATATTTTTCTAACTTCGAATAAATTTTGAAGCATCGAACCTTTAATGCTAGTAAATATAACACTTCAGATGATGAGAATGTACTTGTAAAAATTTTGGTCCTTTAATGAATAGAAAAAAGAAAATCATTAATAGTTTTACACTGAATCTGTTACTTGCTGTTAGTTATATTAAATAATTTTAACCTTTTAGTTATTTATCACAAAAAAGTTGCATAACACACAATTAATCTTACCTCTCAAATATACAGTTTTCTAGAAGAAGCCTAAAAGATATTGAGTTTTATTTAACTCAAATAAAATGAAGGAAAAATAAGACACCCTATTTTAGAGATAATTGTTCTTTGTTTTGCCAATATAGATCGAGATCACCAAAGACCGAGGAACCTAAAATGAAAACAAACATTGGGTTAAAACATAGATTTTATAGGTATCATTTTTATACATACTAAAGGTAGCTTTAACTTCGAAAGCGGAAAAGCAATTCTTTAATTTCATTTTTATGGAACTAATGAACTACGTTTTATTTTTAGTTAAAATTTTAAAAGCAATTAATAGTTTAAAAACTTCTTTTAGTTTCATTCTCATGAAACTTAAAACCATTTTCTTAGCTTTGTTAGAGAGGGCCTTAAAAGCAGTAAACGAGAAAAATGACAAGATTCACAAAAGGAAAAAAAATACGTCTTATACACTGGCAAATACGGTAATTTAAAATGTCATGATCAATCTCCACACTTATATTCGCAACAATGCCTCCTTTTTGAAGTCGTTATTTGATTAGAAAAAAAGATATTTCTTTTCCTTTATTATCTAATTAGATTTGGTTCAGCTCCAAAATGTCTTATCATGGGAATACAACTAATTCTGGCAACAAATGGTTTTTATTTTATCACTTGCTATTCAAATTTTGCAATATAACAACGATACCCTCATCCGCTGTAGCCGAGGAAAAGTTAGAAAATACACTAACTCACTTGAAGTGACATTTACATAAAAATTATGGTGTCCGCCGATAACATCGCGGCAAAAACAATGCGGACGAAAACGTCGCGGAGAAAACAACGCAAGCGAAAACGTCGTGCTACAAAACATCATGGGAGAAAACATCGCAAAGAGAAAACATCGCAGTTCTAAAACATCGTGATACAAAACATTGAAGTCGAAAATAAATCGGTTCAAAAACTTCGCAGTTTAAAAACATCGTCGTCGAAAATATCGTGGTAAAAAATAAAGTATCTACAAATCATCGCATGACAATAACATCGCAGACATGCTTTTTTTCAGGTTTTAATAATTGTAAATGGATATTGCCATAATGATTTGTGAGCGCAAGATGTAAAGAAGGATAATTTTTACTTTCACATTTTTTTATTAACTAATAAATTTTTTCTGAAAAAGTAAGAAGGAAACTTAAGCATAGAAAATTAAATGCAACTCATAGATTATACTTTTCGTGAAAAATTACCAGTAAAAACTTTATAAAATATGATTTATTAATGACCTTTGTTAATTAACTACGTCGGTTTAAAATTCTATTAAGTACTATTAGTTGCATTAATTTTCTATGCTTAAATCTCCTTCTTATTTTCTCAGCAAAAATTTATTAGTTAATAAAAAATATGAAAGTAAAAGTTTTCCTTTTTTCCAATTTGCGCTCACAAATCATTGTGGGATTTGTGATTTATCCATTTACAGTTATTAAAGCCTGAAAAAAGCATGTCTACGATGTTATCGTCATGCGATGATTTGTAGATACTTTATTTTTTACCACGATATTTTCGACGATGATGTTTTTAAACTGCGAAGTTTTTGAACCGCTTTATTTTCGACGACGATGTTTTGTATCACGATGTTTTAGAACTGCGATGTTATCTCTTTGCGATGTTTTCTCCCACGATGTTTTGTAGCACGACGTTTTCGCCTTGCGTTGTTTTCTCCGCGACGTTTTCATCCGCGATGTTTTTGCTGCGATGTTTTCCGCTGTAACCAAATATTATATTGGGAAACTTGAACGCCTCGCTTCAGAACCGCCCGAAGTCTCCGATCATAAATACGAGATTTAGATATAGAGATAGCCGTAACGTTTATCATCATGTTCGTAGCATTTTGCTGTAACTAATGTCAGGCGTTCGATGGCTGGAATGAAGATAATAAAATAACATTCAACTCTTTTTGTAAAGAAAGAGTAGATATCCACTCCCATGGATATTTAAGACCTCTTATATTTCTGACAACATGAACCCATCGAACCATCCTTGAATCTGTAGAGGGTGCTGCCATTCTGTTCCGTATTTTCATTTCCACCTAAAGAGATTATTATTCTTACTGTTTTACGAAATGTCTTCTGTTGCTAGTCGTTTATCATCTACTGCATTAGACTGGAAAAGAATTACTTTTTACCCCAGATGCCTAATTCGTCATATGTTTAGTTTTGTTTAGCTACTTAGCTCTATGGAAAAAAGATAATGGTCTTGCTTACAACTATAAGATTTCAACAAATGGCCCTGACATGGATGTGCAAAAAACACAAATTTGAGAAGTTCCACAAAATGGTCATTCGATAGCACAAATACATCAAAAGCTTTTAAATCATGTGCTAAAAAAATTAAAGAAGCGAAAATACAGACACGATACATATGTTACCGTGAAAGACCGAAATTGGAGAATGTCAACATTCACCAAATACGTCGGTGAAAGATCGAATATTTCTTTACATTCTTGTACATTCGGACCCTCACCGGTGTATGTCGACAGTCACAGATATGCTCTGGTGTAGGTCGAAAAGAGAGGAGTATATGTACACGCTGCCATTCCAAAAGGAAGTGTTCCACAAATAAATGCAGTTGTAAAAGCAAGGGCCTCTTGTGCAATTCAAAGTGTCATAATAGTTTAAGTTGTTGCAATAAATAAGATTTGAATCACATAATTTGGTAAGTTTATAACTTCTATTAGTTTCCTTTCTCATTTTGAATGTACTGTGTGTTTTAAGTTCTTATGTTCTTAAGTTCTTATTCTGAGTCTCAAGTGCGTTTTTTTCGCGAATGAATTACGGAGAAGGAAATATAATATTCTTATATGTTCAACATTCACCATTAGTACATGGTGAATGTCGAAATTCACCGGTGTAAGTCAGAAATAAGAGTATTTGGAAAATATTTCGGACATACACCAAGCGACTATGTGAATGTTGACATTCACCGGTGAAAGTCGACATTCTCCAGATTTCGGTCTTTCACCGTAAAACATATATATTAAAAACTGCAGATCTCAATATTAAGCTACTTAAAAAAACCAATAAATTTAGTACTGAGTAACAAAGTTTACAACTAATAACAAATTTCAAGAACTTTTGGTGGATTATTGACTTTTACTTATCACGGAGAATTGTTCCTGTCCTAGAATTCTTCGATAAATGTTGGATATCATTTCAGATGTATTGTTTGGACACCACTGGACTGACCTTTGGACACACTCGTCAAAAGCTCTGAGGGAAAAAAATAATAATAAACAAAAATATGGTAATTATTCAATAATACAGTATGCAAATTTTTTTACAGAATGAATATATTACTTTGATACTTCAGCTGCTCTCATGAGTGAACCAATCTTTATGAAATGGGTAAAAGTGTGTAGGTTCTCGATACACTTGTTCTTGACTTTATCAATGATATCCACTATACATCCTTCTTCTGAAATGAGATTAGTTGCATATAACATATTACAGTTAGAAAAACACTGCTTTTGATATATATGTCCACTAAAAAATAAATCAACAGCAAAATAATTATAGAGGGGTTTATTTTATTTTGTTAATAGTTATTTTTAATTTCAAACAACTGTTTCTTTTACCTTCTTAATTTCTCACCAACGTCTTCCTTCCAGACTAAGTTTTCAGTATGGCGCGTTTTGCAAATAAGGTAGCAACTAGTATTTAAGCTGAAGTCTGAGTTACTTCAGTAGGACAGCGTGTTCTGCCTTTCGACTACGTTGTTGCTATTAGTTAAAGCTTCCTATTCTAGGCCTTAATACGTAACTGCTAGCAACATTAAAGCTAGCACCTTAAAGCAACAATAAATATTATTGATAACTTATAAGTATTGGATAAAATTACTTTTCAAATGATTCAGTTCGTTACATTAATGAACACAGAGACTGTTCGCACATTCTTAAACGATTTTGGTAAGCGGTAATAAAAAATCGTTTGCTGCAAAAGAAGTAATTGCAATTGTACTATGTTTTTAAAAAGTCAAAATTATTGTCTGTGGCTTGAAAGTTTTGTTTTTATTTAAAATGGCGAATTTAACAAAGCAGTGGTTCGAAGGCTACATTTACGCTTTTTCCGAAGAGAAATATGCATACTCCGTTATCCAAAAACGATGTGAGAGTCATGGTTTTGTGATATCTAAAGCGTCGATAGGTAATATCATCAACAAGAAAGGAAAGAAACGTCAAATTGGAGCCTCCATCGAGAAAAAAATTCCAAACAAATACCCAAGGTAAAAACGGACATCTTCGACTATTGCAAAGGTACGTTGTTTTATGTTGAAAGAAAAAATCCCTAGTCAAAGGACAGTTGCAAAATCATTAAAATGTTCGGTGTCCACTGTAAACAAAATGATAAACGTTGATTTAAATCTTAAGAAAGCGAAAAAACGCAATGTGCATCGTCTTCTTCCAAAGCATATCGCTCAACGCAGGACACGCTGCTGAATTCTATATGAGAAACACTTATCCAAAGAAAAATGGAAAACAATTGTCACAATAGATGAAGCATGGGTGTATTTAAATGATTGTAACAAAAAACGAGCCATTTATAAAAGGGGAGAAAAAATTTAAGTACATGGTTCAAAGAATCGAAAGAAAGTTTTTCTAAGAGATTCATGATCGTTGCTGGTTTTTCTTATAATAGCAAGTTAAAAATAAAGAGAGTGCAAAAAAATTTCAAGATTAACTCCAAATACTATCAGGAACATATTTTATCGCCAATTTTTCTGAATGAAATATCATCGCTTTACCCACAGTGCCATCCATCTGTGAGACTCCATCAGGACAAAGCTAGCAGTCACACATCAAAATCCACTGTAAATTTCCTAAAAGAAATGGAACAAAAAACTGGTATCAAGGCCATATACTTCAATGATATCCCTACTAAATCTCTCGATGTGTCACCTATGGATTTTTGTGCTTTCGGACTTTTAAAAACTGCATTATCCTAACGTTGTCCCAAAACCCTAACAGGACTCTGGAAAGCTGTTCGGGAGGAATGGGATAGAATATCTCTTCTGCCACTTCAAAAGGCATTATTATCCTGGAAATTGCGGTGTCCAAAGATAATTGAGAACAAGGAATGTCAAACAGAACATTTAAAACACAAGAATTTTATGTAATTTAGTTTCGTGAATACAATATACATCGTCTAAAAAATGTGTGAACAGCCTCTGTAATGCAATTCAATAATACCGAAGTTAGATGAAAGATCTTAGAAACTACTGAATGGCAGAAACTTAAGATCTTTATTTTTAACGGCTAAAAGCTGCTGAGTGCAAACTCTTTTGAGTTGTTCGAAAAGGCTCCAAGATTAGAATTATTTGAAATTTCTTTTTTACTCGGTATCAAAATTTAAGTTAAAATTAATTTAAGTTACGCTTGATTATTGTAAACAATTTTTATTGAGTGATGTATTGTAATACAGTATGGCACAGGTACAAACAACGCACTATTTTGCAACATAATTGTTCAATTTGTAAATTCTTGCTTGCACATTAAGCTAAATGTTCAACTTCGATGACAGAAATCTGCTGTATGGTCATGGGGACATCTAGAATTCCGGTTTCAATCTGTTTATTGTTGACAAATCCTTAACCTCTTATCTTCAGATTCCGAACACCCGAAAACCGGAAGATGAAAGACGTGCTGTACCGTGGCCTTCGAGATAACATGGCCTGGTTAGCTACTAGTGACGTCACGAAAGGCGTCCGATTCTTCCGTGACTTTCTTTGCTTCAGATTTGAATGCGAGCGTTTCGTTCGATGTTTAGAGTGTTTTGTTTTTAATAATGCATAATAATTAAATTTGCAGAGACTTGAAAACGTATATAAAGGTCGTATATTCATTTGCAGTTAAAATTAATAACTTAATGAATATTATTTTTTAAGAAATATTCACGAAATTTTCTATGCCATGTTTTAGGTTATCTTGTGCATTTTTTTTACAACTGTATTGTAATAATTTGTTAGGATACATCAAAAAAGAAAGTTTTGAAATAAGTAAATAAAAAGACTGTTATTTATTAACATAAAAATGTCTTTACAGTTTGAGAAGGATAAGAATGAAAGGAATGAAAGATTTAGAAATATAATAATTCACTAACAAATGTAAATATAATTTAGAAAATTAAAAGACATAAGAAATAATTTTTCCCTAAAACTATAAATATTCAGAGCTTCCAAACATTATGCAAATGTATTTTTAATTCATTTAAATTACTATCTAATAAAATGAACAGAAAAGCCACAGAAAAAATTTAAATCTCAAAACTTCGTAAATTAAATAAATTACAATTTTGCTGCAACATTACAGAAAACGAATAATTTTTACATATTTATATGTTATCTATAGCAATAATTATAAGAATATTTACATCATTTAATAATATTTACATTATTAGTTATATGTAGATGCATAATAAATAATACATTTACAAATAAAAGCCATCCATATAATGTTTCATAAAAGCGTAAAATCAATAAATTTGCTAAACGAAAATCTCAAAACAACTATACACAGAACAAACCATCATTTCTGTCTAATTAAGCAAATACTGTGCAAGTTGTACTAGTATACTGAAGCAATAATTAATCGCAATTGATAATTTATTTTGAAAAAATTATGGAGTATTATCAAATAATAAGGAAACAGCAAAAGGATTAATACATTTAAAATGTAAAAGATACATTATTGAAAATATATCTGAACTGCATCATATTTAGTACACTATTTTTAAAAAATAAAACAAAGTCACTTTACATATCACTCATATCTCATATCTTTCATCAAGTATTCTTGACTTTTTTAAAGTTTCCTTTCATCGGTTTTTGAATGCATATTATTTTGAAGAACTTTAGTATAATTGTTTAAATCAAATATTTGAAATAACGGTGCTCATTATTTTTTGAAATCTGCTAGAAAAGGGAATTCCACACATTAAACAAGTTTCATGAACATCAAACATGTTAATGTTTTGTACATATATCTCGGTAAGTTTGACCAGTAAAGAATGCTGTTCAACTTCTTTACTGGTTCTTCTTTACTTTCAACTGGAACAACTTTATCTCCTAGATAATCTGCTACATCTATATGAAGCGATACAAAGATACTTTTTTAATTTTAGGATATGGATGAAAACTGAGCAATAGAATATAAATACCAGCAACAGATTTGTGTAAAATAATATTTGAAGTATTTGAAATATTTAATTTATTTGGTAACGTAGAAGAAAAATCCTCAAATGATGCTATGTTGTCCTTTCTCAAAAATTCATTAAAAATATGCTTCTCCATCTTAGCTCTTTTTTCCTCCCTGCTCATCCTCTGAGGGGTTGGACTTTCAGATAAGTATTTTCGACAACCAGAAAAAATGCATGGGTAAGCATCGTTATTTAATTTAGGATGCCCTCTACACATCTGAATAAAAGTACCTTCGTTTGTTGGTAAATAATCATAGCGAATAATATTATCTTTTCGAAATGTTTTTCACATTGAATAATGTTTTTCACATTGAATTCATCTGCGATCACTTGAAATAAAATTTTTCCTTGGAATTTTTTTGATCCATAAATCCCGTTTTACTGTAAAAATATACAGCACGCAATCAACGTAATAAGAAGTCTTCGCTTGCAGTGTCCACACAATGCAGTGCGAAGGGTGAAAGTTCAGACGCCTTACGTGACGTCAAATCACGTGATTCTGCAGCTGACCAGGCCATCTAATCTCGAAGGCCACGGCTGTACGCAGTATGCTGCGAAAACTCCCATCCCCGTATTTTAAAGAATTCCCGGCTTTTCTTGCATTTTGTTTTTTAGGGCTTTGTGTACAAAATCTCCGTGTTTCTCAATAAGAATTGACATTGATGAATCCGTTTTGCTTACACTTGGGGCAAACACATCCTTCACAATCAAAGATGAAAAGGGTTATGACCTTTCCGAATAGATGATGATGTTAATCCTCATTCCTTTGATTAGGAAATAAAATAACATACCGATACTTCATCATCAGCATGATAACACTTGAGAAACTATTGACGTTTCAGAACAACGTTAAAGACCATTTAAATAAGAAAGAAACCCAACTTGCCTTTAGAAGTAACTAAATGAAAAACCTATGATGTAGAACAAACAAGATGAACGATGAAATTAATACTGCGTATTGGACACGAAGACCTAATTTGACCTTCCGTAAGCTGAGTTCAGAGAAGATCAAATAATTCTTACAGCATAATTGTTTTGAAGTTCCTTTTAATGAATCGAAAACAGAACAAGACAGGTCATGTTGCTGATTGGTAGAAGATAGGTTTGCGAGCACCGAAAACAAAAGACGTAGACAAAAGAGTTGTGACAAAAGAGCCTTGAAAAACACATTTCGTTTTTAATCTTTCAATGCAAAAGAGAAATTTATGTTATTTCCCGAGGTTC